CGCGCAATTTCCCCCCCCCCCCCCCCCACGCATTTTCCCCACGGCCAGGAAGCGAAGGACCGCCACCATTGCTGGAACTGTACAGATGTGCGTTCTGACTGGTGTTTTTTGTAGTAATAATAATCCTATTAATAACAAGGATGAGTCCCATCCCGAGCTGCCTCCGAGGGTCCTTTTGAGACGGTGTCGTAGCTGCCTTTGTGAGGGCTGCATGTGTCGACGGTTTGCTGGCTCCACATTTAGCGATCCAAAATAGTTTGTGGTGATGTTTTCAGTTCAGCCAGTGATGCTCGGTGATGTACTTTTATATCACGATCGTTTATTTTGATTTCATTTTCTTCTGCTCCTCTGTCCAATAGTTGCCATTGTGACCATGAAAAAGGCACTTTGCTATTGTCGGTTTATTGCAATAAAAATACATACAGAGTATTGATTTTTTTTTTTTTCCGAGTGCAAAACAAACTACTTTTTTCACTTGTGGTAGGTTAAATTATTATACTTAGACATTTATGGAAATTTTCAGACAATATTTGTTTTTATTTTATGATCAAAATATACACAGTAATATATTCAATATCTTGTTCTATTCATTCATAACTACAAAGTAACAAATCAACATTTTTTAAATCAAGTATTAAAAAAACCTTAAGTAGCACATCAATAATACATTACATAGGATGATATTACGTTGATATAATTATCGTGAAATTACATATACAGGTAATAAAAGTATCATTTGGGTTTGAATGTGTGGATGCATTTTATATAAATATCAAGGTAATTTGAGTTCAAAGTCAAATCCACCAAATTGTATCGAAATGACAAGATTCTCTGTTGGTGAGAAAAATTGTTCCAAGGATTATTGTTTATATTATTTTTACTGCATTTTTACATGCAAAAGACAACTGTAAACAAACTAAAAACAACAATAAATTAACTTTTGAAGAAATGGCTTCCCGATATTATTACTAGTAAATGAAAACGAATTATTCTTAAAACGTGGT